TGGTTTGTAAAGGATTTTTATTTCTCTCTTGGCTTATGAGCCTAGTTGGATGGATATGAAATTCCTGGGTTGAAAATTCTTTTCTTTAAGAATGTTGAATATTGGCCCCCACTCTCTTCTGGCTTGTAGGGTTTCTGCTGAGAGATCTGCTGTTAGTCAGACCACAGTGCAATCAAATTAAAACTCAGGATTAAGAAACTCACTCATTTTTTCCTTCATTTGAACCTTGGTGAATCTGATGATTATGTGTCCTGTGGTTGCTCTTCTCAAGGAGTATCTTAGTGGTGTTCTTTGTATTTCCTAAATTTGGATGTTGGTCTGTCTTGCTAGGTTGAAGGAGTTCTCCGGAATAATATCCTGAAGGGTGTTTTCCAACTTGGTTCCATTCTCCCGATCACTTTCAGGTACAACAATCATACGTAGGTTTGGTCTTTTTACATAACCCCATATTTCCTGGAGGCTCTGTTCATTCCTTTTCATTCTTTTTTCTCTGATCTTGTCTTCGTGCTTTATTTCATTAAGTTGATCTTCAATCTCTGATATTCTTTCTTCTGTTTGATCAATTCAGCTATTGATACTTGTGTATGCTTCACGAAGTTCTGATGCTGAGTTTTTCAGCTCCATCAGGTCATTTATGTTCTTCTCTAAACTGGTTATTCTAGTTAACAATTCCTCTAACCTTTTTTCAAGGTCCTTAGCTTCCTTGCATTTAGTTAGAATATGCTTCTTTAGCTTGGAGGAATTTGTTATTACCCACCTTCTGAAGCCCACTTCTGTCAGTTCGTCAAACTCATTCTCCATCCAACTTTGTTCTCTTGATGGCGAGGAGTTGTGATCCTTTGGAGGAGAAGAGGCATTCTGGTTTTTGGAATTTTCAACCTTTTTACACTGGTTTTTCTTCATCTTTGTGGATTTATCTAGCTTTGGTCTTTGATGTTGGTGACCTTCGGATGGGGTTTTTGTGTGGATGTCCTTTTTGTGGATGTTCATGCTATTCCTTTCTGTTTGTTGGTTTTCCTTCTAACAGTCAGGCCCCTCTGCTGCAGGTCTGCTGGAGTTTGCTGGAGGTCCACTCCATACCCTGTTTGCATGGGTATCGCCAGCAGAGGCTGCAGAACAGCAAAGACTGCTGCCTGTTCCTTCCTCTGGAAACTTCATCCCAGAAGGGCACCTGCCAGATGCCAGCCAGAGCTCTCCTATATGAGATGTCCATTGACCCCTGCTGGGAGGTGTCTCCCAGTTAGGAGGCATGGGGATCAGGGACCCACTTAAGGAGGCAGTCTGTCTCTTAGCAGAGCTTGAGCACTGTGCTATGAAATCCGTTGCTCTCTCCAGAGCTTGCAGGCAGGAATGTTTAAGTCTGCTGAAGCTGTGCCCACAGCTGCCCTTTCCCCCAGGTGCTCTGTCCCAGGGAGATGGGAGTTTAACTGTAAGCCCCTGAGTGGGGCTGCTGCCTTTCTTTCAGAGATGCTCTGTCCAGAGAGGAGGAATCTAGAGAGGCAGTCTGGCTATAGCAGCTTTGACGAGCTGCTGAAATTTATTCAGCATTTCAAGTTGTTTGCAGTTATAACTTCCAGGCAGCTTTGTTTACACTGTGAGGGGTAAACCGCCTACTCAAGCCTCAGTAATGTCAGCCACCCTTCCCCACACCCAGCTTGAGCATCCCAGGTCTACTTCGGACTGCTGTGCTGGCAGTAAGAATTTCAAGCCAGTGGATCTTAGCTTGTTGGGCTCCATTGGGGTGGGATCCACTGAGCTAGACCACCCATCTCCCTGGCTTCATCCTCCTTTCCAGGGGAGTGAACAGTTCTGTCTTGCTGCTGTTCCAGGCACCAGTGGGGCATGAAAAAACAAAAAAACAAAACAAACAAACAAATAAAAAACTCTTGCAGCTAGCTCGGTGTCTGCCCAAACAGCTGCACAGTTTTGTGCTTGAAACCCAGAGCCCTGGTAGCATAAGCACCGGAGGGAATCTCCTGGTCTGCTGGTAACAAAGACCATGGGAAAGCATAGTATATGGGCCATAGTGCACCGTTCCTCATGGTACAGTCCCTCAGGGCTCCCTTGGCTAGGGGAGGGAGTTCCCCACTGTCTAACCAGTACTAATGAGATAAGCTGGGTGCCTCAGTTGGAAATGCAGAAATCACCTACCTTCTGCGTTTATCTCGCTGGGGGCTGCAGACTGGAGCTGTTCCTATTCGGCCATCTTGCCAGCCACACTCTCTCTTTGTTTTTTAGGAGCTTTATGTTGATGTTCCTTTATTATAGTGTGGTTTACTTCATAGTTTTCTATGTGGAATTCACAACTCTTCTTGAATCTATGTCTTGATGTTTTTCAGCAGTTTTGGAAAATTATCAGCCATGTCTCTTCCAATATTGCTTCTTCCTCATTGTCTGTTTTTTTCTTCTTCTAAGATTGTGATTACACATTTGATAGATATTTTCATTATTTCTTATATGTCTCTTATCCTCTGTGCTTTCCTTTGCTTTGTTTCTCTGTACTTTTTTCTGAATATTTTCACTGACTCATCTTCTAATTTACTAATTCTATTTTTGGCTATGTCTAATTGGCTCTTAAACCCACACATTGATTTTTAAATTGACTTTTAAATTCATTTATTGCATTTCTACCCTAGAATTCCAATTTCATTATTTTTCTAGATTCCAGTTCTATACCAATTCTCTTTACATTGTCCTTTTAGTTAGAATATTTATCATAGTTACTTAAAGGTCCATGTCTGATAATTCTAATAAATGTCTCTCCTATAGGTCTGTTTTATCTTATTTTTTCTTGTTTTTTTTTTTGTTCTTTTCAGTTTTTATCATTTGCCATTGCCTCCTGGAAGGTGTGGTAATATTTTATTAAATGCTAACATTGTATATGAAATATTTTAGCAATACCTTTATGCTTTTGATGATGTTATCTCCCTCCATATAGTATTTATTTTGCTTTCAGTGTACTATTAGCCTAGGAAAACTGCTTTAATATAACAAGGGATCCAACTGACATGACAGTTTGTTTCAGTAACTGGAAGGACTTATTGTGTTCATTATTGATTTCAATTTGTATCCCTTTAGGGATCCCAACTGAAAGCCTGGTTGTTTACCAGGTCCCTGACACATTCACAGATTCTAATACCTAATTTTTGTCCCCTCGGTCCCATGGAACTGCCAAAAGCAGCCCTCAGTTTCTCAACTTTGTTGACCTGGATAGGAAAGGCAGCACCAAATTTCAGGCTCCTCTCCTGGTTCTCTTATCATCTTGACAATCTTGAACTCTCAATTTTTGACTGGCTTATAGCTCTCCAATGTCATCAAAATGATTTTTAAAATTTATTCAGCATTTCAAGTTGTATTTCCTGAGTAGACTTCTAAAAGCATAATTTCTTGGTCAAAGTTACAAACATTTTAAAACTCTAAAACATTTTTGCCCTATTGCCTCCAGAAATATTTGGCTATCTATAGTCTAATAATTAGGCTTGGTTTTAAGTGACTATCAATAACTTTACTTTTTTTAATTTGAGAAAAACATGAAAATATTTTTATCCTGGAAAATATTTTTCTCCATCCATCCAGCCATAAAATTTTATTAATGGAATTTTTACTTTATTCTTCACACACAGCAAAAGATCTCTTTGGGCCTGATTCAAAATATATTAAACTTCACTCATAAAGATATTTTATTCCTAGGAACATGTTTCCATTTATATCAAACAGGGAGTTCCCATGAAATTCATGTTGTAAACGTAAATGCAATTGCTTCAATAATTGCTGAAATAAAGGTCTGGTGGGCAAAGCCTAGGAAGCAGAAAAGTAACTTAAAGTTTTGCACATGGTCCGACATTTCAAACATACATGGGTGGCATGACACTTTCCATGCATCTTCTGTTGCCACCCATTAGGAATACACCTAATTGAACATGTTAATAAGAGTCCGTACGTGGCTTGATTCAGCTCAGGAGAGGTAGAAAAACTCAAGTTCTGAGCTTTGTAATGACAGAAACAAATGCTGTATGGCCTCTTAAGAAAGCTACAAGAATATGAGGTGGTTTAGGGTACCTCAACCAGAGAGGCTAACTTCAAATTACCAGACACATCTATTATGAAGTGTTGAAAGGAAAAAGAAAAACAAATAATAAAGTTACAAAATAAAGTTTATTTTATCAAAATTAAAACGGCTTCCTTCCCTCCACTTCAGAGTAACCTTGAGATGGAACAGTCTGAGGATTACATTGCTATAATCCCTTAGCAGTTAGTTCCACAGCAGGAGGTGCCTGCTACAGACAAAATTATAGGGTTAGGAATGTTCACAATTCAGTGACCCGATTGGCTGACTATTCCTTAGAGCTTTAGAATCAAATATTTATACATCTAAATGGGAGCAAAGAAAGGAAAATGGTTCATAAAGAGAGTCCCAGAGCATGTATTATTGAAATAACAGATGGAAATATTATATTTTTGAAACATTCTTTCTATAAAGAAGTCTTTTGAAGTGTGTTTTGGTAGGATAAGCTGAGCCAAAAGTGGAGCAGAGTGAGAGAAAAAAATAAGGTTTTATATTCAAATGTTTGGTGTCAGCAGAGTATAAAGTTAGCACTTCCCAAAAAAGGCATGTCCCAAAAAGCACTGCAGCACAATGTGTTTGCTCTACTTCACATAACAGTCCCAGAGGAGAAATATTTCAAAATACATTTTACCATCACTGCTCAGTTTGTGTGTGGACTCTCCCAAAACTTGACCTCTGACATCTTTGCAGAGGGTGTATGATCTCCCACCATTGAATTTTTTATGTTTCCTAAAATGACTGAAACCTAAGCTAAGACTCAGTCATTATCTTGAAAAAGCTGTTGGCTACCTCATACTTGCTGAGAGTTGGGTAAGAAGTATATTTAAATTGTAGGTTTTATGCCACATGGACAATAGTGATTGGCCATCTAGGCAGGGCTTACAGACTAAAAATGGAGACATGCAGAAAGCAAGAAAGTAGGCAGAAGGCCAGATGAAAAATTCATCACACTTTCTTTATTTTCCTGTACATGGGAGCCTGTACCCATGACAGAACTAACAATTCAGAATTATTCTGTTGTCTTTCCAGGAAAAATATCCCATTACTAAGCAATCAATTTGAAGTGCTCCATGGCCAGTCCAATTTCTCCATCATTTAGCTCTGAGGACATGGTTCACTTATCCTGCTAGTCTCAGCTATTAGCTGGATCTGCCATATGATGATGTGATTTATTTCATGGCAACTGGTAGTCACTCTGGTTGAAAAAAGAAAAAGAATCCACAGGAACACAATGATTTTGATCTTGTATCCAGACAAGATTTATATCTGTGACAGAGATCTGAATGCAATTCCTACTTGAGTCATTCTTAGGGGAAACAAAAGGAAGACTAGCCTGGGAGAAGGGCTACTGGCTGGGATGTAAGAAATGAAGGAATTGCTGGTTCTCTTTCCTTCAGTACCCTGTTAAGTCCAGGGTATTGATAGATTCACATCAGGTGATCTAGGTATTGATAAGAGTTTGGGGATGTGGTGTTTGTATACAGGCCCTCAGCACCAAACAATAGTCAGTTGGCAAAGGGCATAAATCCAGTAACCTATGGCCTCTGAAAATTCAGAATTGAGTAACCATATGGCAACTTCTAACTTCTGCCAAAAGAAAGAAACAAGAAAGAGAAAAAGAGACAGTAACTCACTTGCACCCACCAGTGAGGCCACCTCAGAGCAAAGCAAAAAAATGCTTTAGTGATGGCTTCTTGGGTGACAGCATCTGTTCAGGGAGTTGACTCAGAGAGCCTCAGAAGCTCAGGGTTCCAGCCAGGAGCAGAAAGGACTCTTGGCAGAGCTATTTCCTGTACCTCTTTTGATCATAAAGCTCAGTTTTGGAAAGGTTCTCACCAGTCTTGTGGTTTCCTGGTCGTGCGTCAGTACATTCTGGCTGAAACACTTCCCTTCCTTCAGGCCAGCCCCTCCGCCAATGGCTCCCAGTTCTATGGTTCACTCTCTTCAGCTTTGAACTAGACTCCAAGGACACTGCTGGCTGCAACATAAACCTTGAATGAGAGTTTGCAGCTGGGATGGTAGCCCTCCCCTCCTTGTGATGGGGATCCTAAAAAGAAAAAAATAAGGGTAAAACCAAAAGTCCATAGAAGCATAGAATTTTAGAATCAATGAGTAGTTAGCATACAATCTCTTTTCCAATATAGTATGCAATAGAGTCACCTAGGCAACTGGTTAAAATACAGAGATTCTTACTCCAACCTCAGACCTTCTAAATGAGAATCTTTAAGTAGAAAGTGGGAATCTGTGTTTTCAAGAATCTCCTTGGCAATTCTTACGTAGTCACTGTATAGTATAATTTACCAAGTTTTGTAAATTAGGAAACCTAGGTACAGAAACATTAATTAACTTTGTCATGGTAAAACAGGTGGCCTAAATCTCATGTTGTGCTCTTCTATTGTACCACATTGTTCTCTACTCTTCTTTCTTGTGATTCTGTAATCGGGCTTGGGTCTCATGCTTCCTAATCATGCACTCTTCCTGTGATATATTTCTCTAAAAAATAACTCAGTCTGTTTATATAAGGTCACTTTCAAATCCCGCTACCCTCAAACACAGGCCGTATTAGACAAATATGTAAGCTCAGAACAGCTATTAGAAATGGTAATGTTCTTATTCATCTGTTCCTGGTGAGAAGGTATATATGATGTGACCAGGGACACTGGCAGTTTGGATAGCTCACATATGCCCTCCCCCACAAACCAAAATAAAAAGGAATTCTTCAGACACTTTAGTAAGTGATAATTATATACAGTCATTCAAAGTTTTCAGGGTTATTTATAGAACAAAGTTTCTGCTGGATGGCTTGGGTATGCTACAAAGTAGAAATGGTTAAGCGGAAGACCAAAAGATTCTCCAGTGAAAATGGGTTATTTTTCTCTAGAAACTTAATGGTATTAGAAACTGTAAATTTTGCAATGGATCAGAACCATCATAAGCTGAAAGGAGCCCTAAGGATGATATATGTTTCATCATTCCCATGCTTATAGACCAGAGTGTGAACTGTGCCAGGACTCACAGACTAGCTCAGAGAAGTCATAATACCATGTGATTAAGTACTTCATGGTATATTTATAGAGGAAACTTTTATAATAATGCAAGAATAAAATTGTGGTTGACACTGCAACTTTTGGAGTCAGATAGATCTGAATCAAAATCCCAGATCTACTACTCACCAGCTGTGTAGACTTGAGGATGTTTTTAAATTTCTTTAAGTCTTAATTTCGTCCTCTATAAAATGAAACCTGAGAGGGCTCTCAAGAACATTAAAGCATGAGAGTGGGAAGAATGTATTGGGGAGGGGGTGATGGGTTTTGGAAGAAAACAACAGACAAAGCGAGAAATATAGGTAAACCAAAGTTATCCAAGGAGAAATACAAAGTTATCTAAGGAGTAACAAACTAAAAATATTTGTATGATAATTAACCTAAAATATCAATGTGAGTTTTGACACCAAATCCCATGAGTCCTGTGCTCACATTAGGATATGTAAAGATTGTCAAATATGGATAACATACATGTATTGTATAAGCCCCATGAAATTAGGGAGTTTTAGATGTTTGTTCACTCCCATGCTTTCTGCTCAGTTATGGAATGAATGAATAGGTTGGTAGGATCTAAAAAGAGCCAAAGTCTTGATACCTCGACAAGAGAGGAGGTCAATTAATATGTAATGAATATATAAATGCCTCTGAGCCTTCTGGGTGACTGCCTATCCTGTGTGCAGTTATGTGTGCCAAGTCTCTGCCATACAGCCAAGAAATGAAGGTTAGGTTCTGTTGTAAGAACAAAGTAGATTCCCTGTTGTGATGCTAAAATGTCTTAAACTCTGCTTCAATACCAATGAACTTCGGGAACACCTGCTTAGATAAAAGTTCTAATATTAGTAACAAATTGCTTAATACTTGATATTATCTCAAATCAGATGCCACATCAAGAAAGCCATAAGTTTTCCTGAACATTTCCAAAACATTGCTACAATATAATGGAGACTTGGTGAAAAGGTGTTGGAAGTAAACCATAATTTAATAAATCCTTCTTGTATTACACATGAAGTCCAAAGCCATTAAATTGGCAGAAAAAAAGTGAGGAGAGAAGAAGGGGGAGGTTAGTAGAAAGAAGGAAGGAATGAAAGAAGGAAAAAGGAAGGTAGACCAGCAAAGAGAGTATAGGATCATATACTTAAACAAAAATATAAGTAAACTAAAACTTGCAGTTATTTTTTAATGTATATTCTCTTAACATATCATTACCTTAAGTTAAATTAGTCACTATAAAATGAGTCAAAGTGTTGCAAAGAACAAGAGTAGTTCCCTCTTCACAGCTCATTGATATGTACCTAGTGCCTTGGTAGTGGAAGTGGTGCAGCATGCTGGTTATGAGCTCAAACTTGGGGTCATGGAGATGAAGATTGGCTCTGCCTCTCACTAGTTCTGTGACTTCAAAGAAGCCACTTATGCTGACTGAGTCTCAGTTGTTTTTGTTTTTTTGTATAAGGGATATAAGAATATATACCTCACAGATTTGTATAAAGACAGTTTTGATAATAAATCCCAAAACATGGTACACAAGGCTCAACAAATGGTAACTACCATTTTCATCATCATCACTAATATTCTTGACATCTTGAAACATCTCAATATCTGAGATCCTGAAATCTCTGTTTTATTATTTAAAAATGTATTATGTGTGTTGGTATGGAAAATGGGGCTACGAAATGTATTTATCGCTGGAGCTCTTGGGAGACAGATCTAAAACGCTGTACCCCTGTGGCAGTTGAGATGACTATACTTAGCTTTTATATGTATCCTGTGCTCACTAACTGCATGCAAGTTTTTCTGTCCTTTGTATTCGACCTTCTGGTTACACACAATAGATTTTACCTTTTGCTGATGAAGCAACTAAAGCAAAGAAAAATGAAATACTTGGCCTGGGATCATAAGATGAGCCATAATTATCTTAATTCCCCAAATCCCAGTCCTGCGTTTAGCCAAACAAACTGGAGTTACCATGGGGTAAAACAATGAGTCAACCACAGAGATATTTGGGACAATTTTAAGACAATCCAAATACACTTTGCATTTCTTAGTTTGTATTATACCAAAAAAAAAGTAAACTGAAACAGAGGAATGGAGAATACAAGGCTGTGTAGTAAAAATAGTAAGGAGTCTTTTAGGTTCTACTGTAAAAACAAAGTAGATTTGATTCATGAGCTACAGGAAGATTATTCTGCCAAAAGAGAACCAAAAGAATGAGGTAAGTTTTAGAGAAAAAATGATTAACATAGTCTGTGTGGTTACTAAGGTTGTTGCATGGAGACTTAAAATATTTAAATGAAATAAGAAATTCTGAGAGGCCAGAGAGTAGAATAGAAGAACACAGAAATAAGAGTAAGGAGGCCTGGCTCTGTTCATCATGAATTGAACTGCTTTTTGGAGATCACATGTTTGCTAAAATGGGGATATCTATCCTAACCCTAAAGAATGGTTATGAAGATATAAAAACAAAATACTAGTTTTTTAAAAACTAAAAATAATATGCACACTAGGTATTATTGAAACTTACTTATTAGGAAACATTGCTTATTTCATATGACCACCCCTGTCTCCACCAGAAGAAACCCTGGAAAAAAATGTAGCCTTGAATCCCATTCTCCTTTACCCATAAGTAGACATGTATTAAATACTAATTCTGGATATTGTAAAGGATTCAAAGACCTACAAAACATGAATTCTGCCCTTCAAAAATTTAGTTGGAGTATAAAACATAAAAGGTATATAATTACAGAAAGATAAATTATTTGATAAAGATAAATCATAGTTTGATAAATTGCTAAAAGATTTCCACAAAAGACTACCATAAAAATTTTTTCATGTTGATGAAAACTAAAATGGTTAAAGGGAGAAAAATAAAAGGAAGTTGAGTTTGTGATAAGACATGGAGGAATTAAATTGTTAAAATGAAAGTGTGTTTTTTTAATATCATAATGAAAAGTTAAACATTCATCCGATAGAAATTGAGGAAAGTCTAAAAAATATTTTAGTAAGAATGAATCTTTTGGAAGACTCATCTAGCACTGGTGGTTTGGATAAGGAATAAAAGCAAGGAGGCTCATTAGGAGACATTTGTGATCATTCGAATACAGGAACAAGTGCCTGAAATACAGTTATGGCTGTAGGAATTAAAATGAAACAAGTATATGAGAAATTTTTAGAGAGATTTCTTACGGAAACAGTCTACAAAATCTGACATTTGATTCAGTGAATAAAGTAAAAATCAGGATACAAATCAGACAAAAGAGACTATGGTTTTAAGCCTCAGTTCAGAAAAACATGGTCCTACCTATAGATATAGAATGTCACAAGGAGAATGTTTTGCTATTATAACATTTAAGAATAAAATTTTCAGCACAATACTTGGGGAGTAGTAATAGCTCTAAAAATTACTACTGTCAGATATACTTAGAGATGTCTCAGTAAATCAAGGGTACGTTAGAGAAGATCAGAGACCTGGAAACACAAATTCCAATAGTCTGCAAATATGCTATCTACCTTGTGGACTGGGCATTATCCACTGTGACATAAGCAGACATATCAAGTTTACATGGCCTTAGAAAAGTGAATAGTTAAATTTGCTTAGGTGTTATCAAAGCCTAAGTGTTGTAGTGTCTTTCAGAGCATGTGGGATGTGTATCAATAGATTATCTCTTCTTACAGTACATTCTAAGAATGATGATGTATTCTCCCAATAATTCACAACAAAAACTTGAATAATTGTGGTCAGCAGAATAATAGTTCCCCAAAGATGTCTATTTCCTAACCCCTGGGACCTTGAATATGCTACTTTACATTGTAAAAGGGTCTGCAAAGATGATAAATGTAAGGATCTTGTGATGGAAGATGACACTGGATTATCCAGTTGAGCTTACTATAATCACAGGTCCTTTTAAGTGAAAGAAGACAAGAAAGTCAGAGTTAGAGAGAGATTTGAATATGCTATGCCTCTTAATTTGACGATTAAAAAAGTGGCTATGAGCCAAGGAACGCAGGC